TACTTGTTTGCGATTTTAACTATCGAATACCGTATCACTAGTGAGATTATATAAAAAATTATTCAAGTAGTGTCAACTATGCCTATTCTATATATTTTTTTAATCTTTGACTGTAAGCCGTCAAAATGACCATACATACAAACTTACTACAACACAAAAAACAGTATCCTAAGTTTAAAAAAAACTACAAGTTTAAAACTGTAAATGAAAATAATTTTCAGCAAATAAATACAAAATGTAATTATTATAAAAATAAAAGAAAATGGAACTAGAACAGAAATAATAAAAAGTACAACTAACCGGCAACTTGCTGCAATGTTTCTTTAATATCCTGCCGCTTGCTCGGATCAGCTACTCGTATCCTCTCTTCTATCCTCATGCTGACCTGCCTCGACAGCATCTCTAGTGCCTCTAAGTGTACCAACCCTGGAAGAACATAACATCAAACATAGAAAATAATAACTTTATACAAAATTTACACTACATTTTTTACAACAAAAAATTAAAAAATTTTAGAATATCAAAAATAGACAGCAATACAGAAGTAACTACATTTTTTTTTATCTAGAAGATAAAATAAATGACACAATAAAGAAATATATAGACAAATTGAATCTCTGAGTGATTTTATAAAGTCAATTGTAAAAAAAATACTTATTTTACAAAAAAAAAAAATCAAAAATATAATATTTATGTAATTTACCTTCAAAATCATCAAACAGTGTTTCATAATGAACCTCCTTAGCCTCCCTCTTCTGTTCTTTGATCCTGTCTTCTTCATCAGCCTTTGCTTTCGCTTCTCTCAGCACTTGAGAGAGTACCGGCTTGTCAGCTGCGTCCAGACCCAGCATTGCTCGCTTCTTCACCAGGCCTGGGTCACCGTCTTGAAGGACTTCCATTGTCTTCTTACCGATGGTTTCTAGAGTATCTAATCCACCTGCTAAAACCTTTGTACCTGTAGATGAGAAAATATTAGTCAACAAAATGTTCATCTATATATATCTCTATATGTATACATATAATAAAATTTTCCAGATTTTGGAAAGATACTATATTCGCATTGCTGATAATGAAAATCGCCTAATTTAAGTCCCTTTCTCTTTACCACCCTTTCCTTATAAGGAGAGGTTGAGAAGGGGAAGTGGATTTGATGGTGGAGGAGATGCATAGGAAGGGGAAATATCCTCTTTATGTGCATCTCCTCTTCCGTCGTATAAGGGTAGGCAATGCATTTGCAATTGCAGATGTCTATGGGCAGCGGGCGCTTCGCCATTTTGGCCGATTCTAATGGCCGCTTGCTCGTTTGCCACCTTATGTAAAAAAAAAATCGCATTCAAAAAATTATTGTCTGTCTGTCGGTCTGTCACTTTGGGTTGGTTGACTTCACACATATCTTTGAATTTCTTCGCCGATATGTGCCGGCATCACGATGTTTTCCTTCACCGTAAGAACGTCGGGTAAATTATGTACATATGAAATTCGTAAAAAACGAAAATTACTTTGATATGGCAGTATTCGAACCCAAGATGTTTAGATTACAAGTCAAGTGCTCAAATCCCTGAGCCCATTTATTAAAAATTAACATCACTAACCAGTTGTTTCCACAAATTTTGTAACCCCCGATAAAAGACTTCCAAATTGAAATTGGGCTTCACTGTTCTTAACATCTTCCTGCTTTTCATTGTTAACTTCTTTTGGTAGATTTTCCTCTGTTTTACATTTATTTTCAGCACCTTGTGAAGTTTTTCTGGCAAGTTCTTCAGGGTCTGGTGCCCCAATACTGGTTTCTAAGACTGTTGAAATCCCCTGAAAGATGAGAAATAGAAAAATTATGTTCTGTATTAAAGGAATAAGTCATGTTGCACCTAAAAACTCTCTATCTATTCCTCTTTACAATACCAATATTATATATAATATCAATATTATAAAGAGGAAAGATTTGTATTTTTGTATGTATTGAAATAACTCAAAAACTACTGGGCCGAATTTAAAACTTCTTTCAGCATTAGAAAGGTAATTTATCTGTGAGTAACATGGGCTATTTTTTTTCATTTCACACAGTAAAGTCGCGAGCAACAGCCAGTACTATCATAAACGAGAAAGATTAACTAGATGCGTATATACTTAGCGTCGCAAGAACATCTTGGGATCACAATTATATTTGGTAGTTGTAAAACATAGTATAAAAGATGAGATCGGCTACTTACTAATTATCTTACTAGTATTATAAATGCGAAAGTTTAGATGGATGGATGGATGGATGTTTGTTAGCGTTTGTAGCCCAAACGGCTGAACGGATCTCCATGTAATTTGGCACAGGTTTAGAGCATAGTCTGGAAGAACACATAGTGTACTTTTTATCCCGGGAATAGTTACGGTTCCTGTGGGATTCATTAATTTAATTTTTTAATGTTTACTCGATCATTCTGCAATGGTTAAAAATATAAAAAAAGTCTGGATTACACATGGGATGAGGTTCAACCCCGAGAAATGTCCGGTTCCCGAGGGATACGTAGCTTTTTGTTATTTATATAGTTCGTATGTTTTCTAATACCACGCGGACAAAGTCGCGGGCAACAGCTCGTTTTTAACTAGTTAAGTGATGAGTCAAACTGCTCAGTTTAAATTATGTGTAGGTTTAATTTTAACTGAATACGTTAACTGTCAGTTAATATTTTGTCTACACATGCACATTTGTACAGCTTTAACTGAATAGTTCAATTAGTTACAAGTGTCAGAACTAAGTTAACTCAATGTTCATTTTCATTGCAGTTGGAGAAAATTGCAAAATATTTACTAATAAATACAAATATGTATTAAACAAACCTAAATAATTTATATCTAAATATATACTATTACTAGCTGATCCCATGCGGCTTCATCCGCATGAAATTATGAAAATTTTATTTTATTGTTCTATGTTCTATTTCTTGTTTATGGCTCTCCCTCAGCGTATTGGGCCAGCATCAAGGATTTTATTGTTAACATGTGTTAAATTATCAATTGCAAATGTCAAAATGATATGACATTATTACAAACCATGACAATTTTGCTTCCTTTATGTTGGCAGCAACTTATGGTCTCTTTCCCACATTAGGGTTTTTAACCAAAATATTTACCCTCTAAGTTTAATGGCGTGAAATATATAGCCTAAAGCGTGACGTAAGTGTAGTGCTTTTTATTAAAAAGTGAATTATTCAAAAATATGCTGTAGTTGCAGGCATTTTAGGCAACAAAGAAGTGAGTGTTTACGCTTTATTATAATAGTATAGATATAGTATAAAAATACAAATCTTGTTTCAATACAAAAGTATGTTAAAATAAGTCAAAAATTTCTAGTACAATATCAAAAAATTTTTTAACATTAAAAAGCTATGTTATCACTGAGTGATGTAGGCTATACTTTTATTTATTTTTTTATTCCACAACTTATCCAGTTGAGACGATAGCTTGTTAACAAATCATTTGACAAGCTCATAAAATTTGATATTGATAAAATTTTTATTTTACACAATAAATATATACCTGTGAAACTTGTGAGGTGAGGTTTGTGATGCCAGCGGTAGCAGTGCTCAGTATAGAGTCCATACCCCATCCCCAACCCCAGCCTTCATTCTTTGTTGAAGTTGTTGATGCTGCTAATTGTTCTGTCACTTCTTGTACATTCCTATCTGGTTGCTTGTTATTATCCTAAAAAATGAGAAACAAGAGTTTTGGTGTTAGTTTTGTTATGGGAGAAAGAAAATGTTTAAAAATTAAAAACATATAGCTACATTCCCTTGTTTCTTGTTTTATGTGTTCTATTTTCATCATATTAACAAAGCTTGTTAACTCTTAATCAGATATTGGGTAATTTCTACCCAATTTATATTACTGTAAAGTTTCTTTTTACTTCTTTATAGATTGATAGCTCTAATTGATACTAATCTTAGGATCAAAAACCAGAAATAAAATGAGATTTTTTATATCAAATTAATGTCTAAAAAACTCTTGTTTGATTAAAGTGAATGTTTCTAGCTTTTATTTAAACTTATATTATTTGGATATTATCAGATAGGCGAATATATGTGATGATTTAAATATTATAGCTACCTTGCCAGTTTTGGGTGGATCAGTGTCTCCCCAGTCGTCAAAATCAGTCCATCCCGAGTCATTGCTTGCTCCTTTTTCAGTATTTATTGTTGAGGCATCTGTTTTTGTCGTGTTTTCTGATTTCGGTACAGAAGTATCTTTTTCTGCGCTAACTTTTGTTATACTTTCAGAGCCTTCATCGATGTCAAAATCATCCCAACCATCTGTTGTTTCCTACATAAATGAGATCATAAGATATAGAGAAAATGATTTCATCAAATAACGCAATACAAAAAAACAATAATAAAATACTAATTTTAAGAAAATTGAAAAAGGATCAATACTTTTTTAGCCATTGAATATGTTTTTGATTGGCCTTTCTTGTTTTCCTGATCGGATTCTAAGTTATCGCTATAATTTGATGAAGATAATCGCTTCTTTCTCTCTTTCTTTTGTGGGCTGGTTTGACCTTCATCAGCACTCTCAAAATCGTCACTATCACTGGTAGGCATGGCGAATGATCAATCAACCAAATTAATTATTGACGTCCAAAATCCTTTAAAAATCCACTACGTGTTGCAAAGTTTTTGTAAATTTTGACAAATCGTCTAACTTTGGCACGTATCTGTCAAATTGACAGAACTGACATGTGCGTTCTGTTTCCACATTTTTTTTAAACTGTCTGAACCATTGGAAACAAGGCGAACGTTAAAAAAAAAACAAATAAATTATAATCCATGTATACTCTATACTGATATAATAGAGCGTAACGTAAACACTCAATTCTTTCTAATGTAGGATGACAGCAATGGCGACATAATAAAAAATAATCCCTTTAAATAAAAAGCCCTACACTTGCTATTTTACTTAGGCTACATATTTTCACGCTATTTAATTTGGGGGGTAACAAATTGGAAAAAAGCAATGTGGGAAAGGAACCAAAACTAAGAGCCAACAGCAATAAGGAAGAAAGATTGCCATTGTAACGGTAATTGTTATATGCCCATAGATAAACAGATTCGTGCATTTGAATTTTGACATTTGCATTTGAAAATTGTAAGTTTTACAAGTGTAAACAATGAAATAAAGTTTTTATTATTTCTTGCGGATGAAACCGCGCTGGTCTTTCTATATAACCAATTCATTCCCTAATTAACTTTCAGCCAAATCAGTCAGATATAGAGAAAAGGCGGTATAAGCACCCGAAAAAACGATCAAGTAAAAGTTTTATGCATGATTGTCTGATTGCGGGTTCACCAGGAGTCTAGGACCCCCCTTTGGATTATGGGCGTGCGTTTTATTTTTATTTTTATTTTTGTCAACCTTTAATAGTAAAGAAGTGATTGAAAGTGTGAGGAATAAAAAAAAAAACAAAATCTGATAAGAATGCTTTAATATCAAAAATTTACGGGTAATTACATTTGACCCTGAACTAACGTTCGCTTTCATCTGTCTTATACTTAATTCTTTTATGTAGGAAATACCATCCGTGTAGGTTTTTTCCAAGTAAAACCGGTCATTACTTTTTTGCGCCAATGTTTTGAATGAATTCGAAAAAGATTATAAACAGTGTAGATAAGACGTAGCGGTATTTAGATTTTGATAGAAAAACAAAACCTTCATATAGTAGACCGATGAATTAGTACACTATTTGGAGATTGAGTACATTATTTATACTGTCTCTTTTCTTCCAATTATTTCCTCTGTAAACATCTACACTCTATAGTAGAGATATTCGACTTCAAAGTCGACATTTACCTCGTTTTTCAACCTATATTGATATAAGCTATCCTCAATCCATCATTCTTTTCCTACCCTATAAGATTGGTAAAGGTAGGCTTAAAATTATTAACAAGCCCATCTCTACTGTGACTTACATAGCCGATTTTCCTTCTTTATAACCACGGTAGGTATATTATGGTTACGAATACGTAAATGAATATAAGAAATTGACTTACGATCTTCTAGCAATACGAACAATGTGTTTGTGTCTGCATGTTAAAGATTATAATAGGACTTGTTATAATGAATACATGGGTATTGTCATAACATACTTACTATGTAGGTACTTTTATTATGTACATAAGACAATTGCTACATATTACAATGTGATCACGTGTTTTATAAACATTTGAATGGTATAAAAATACAGACTATTAAAGAAAAATAATCATATCTATTCTTTATTAGATAATTATGAGGTGTCGCTCGCAAACTTGGTCAGCGCAAATTTAGACCACCCGTTACGTCATTTTGACAGCGCGGAATTTAAAAAAAGTAGCCTATGATATGCCTATCCATGAAAGCTATCCTCCAGTGAAAGTCCCGTCAAAATCGCCTCAGTAGTCTTTGAGATTGCCCGGAACACGGCTTGCGGACAGACAAAAAAGACAAAAAAAAAAAATTAAATGCGAATTTCGGTATCAGCAACGCAAATACATCACTTTCTCGAAATCTGTATTTTTTTTTTGATATTACAAACAGACCAAAGCTAATGTAGGTAGTACGCAACACTTGACATAAAGTTGATTCCAGTGAAGCTTTACTTACAGTGTTATTCAGTACGTTTTATGTCTATAATTCGTGTTGTTTCATACATACGCGCTGGAATGCGGCCCATACATATCTGTTTGAGTACGTATATGCGACGGAATCGTAAATAAATTGAATGGATAGGTACCTACATTTCGCGTTCACTGTTGCTTGGCTCGGTTTTGTAGTTCGCACTGTGAACTGTAGGCACCCGTCGGTCGTCGGCGGTTCGGCGTGTTTGCCAACCCACGGTATGTAATGTAAACATTGTGGTCAAGAGGAATGCATTTAGACGGTAGGTGCTGGTAGTGAATATTATCATGAGCGGTGATAACGTGGCGATGGGCGCCCGCGGCTCAGTCGGCGACGCGGGCTCGCGTGGTGCGGTCGCGTACTTTGTACGTATTGGCGGGAAAGTGACGTGCGGAACTGTTCGCGCTCGCGTACGCGCCGCATTCCATCGTGGGGGCCCTTCGCCGCCATTGGCCGATCCCGCGTGACGTCACACCTCGTAATGAGGTATTCAACATGGCCGTGTAGCTAGTTCGCGAGTGTGCTTCGTTATTCGTTTGAATGGATTTAATCAGTGAAATATGCCAAGGAGACGAAACGGTGAGATACCCTTGCCCGACGGATGGGATTATGCGAGGGACTTTGACGGAAAGTTATATTTCATCGACCATAACAGTAGAAAAACGACGTGGATCGACCCGCGAGACAGGTAAGTTTTCCGAAGAGAAGTGTTAACCCGTAAGAGCCCCATGTCAAAACTTTACATTCCAATGCGATTTCCTGAGTTTTCTGATTGAATTTATTGCTTGCGATTATTTAGGTTGTGGCTACCAGTGTTATTTTAAGTAATTCTTGTGCCGTACGTGATAAGAACTGTTTCTAAATAGAATAAATTGTGAAAAACAAACTGATCGTTCGCCGCGACGCAGCTGCTATCTGTCGGAAAGCACGCGCAACCGTCTCGATTTCACACGACATTCCACAATTGACTAACAACAACTGACCTAAACACAAATTATGGTTATCATTTTTATCCTTCAACGTATTCAACTCTCGTATTAACATGAGACCTCATTCGAATCGTGTTGGAAAGCGTTCGTATGTGGCTCGGAAACTGGTTAATATAAATAGTGTTTGCGATCTAGATGCTAAAATAAATGTACAGTTTGTAGTGATCGGGAC